TGACAATCGGAATTCTAGCAAATGGTAAATGTTCCTTCATGCTGAGAAGTGGGAAATTCAATAAGACTTTGGCTGAGTTCATGCTGAGTTGCGAAAATAGGATGACTATGAAGAGAGACTGTGACTCAAAAGACATAAATCAGTGAGCCCAAGCCTGAGCTCTTGATCTGAGACTCTCGGCCCTCCCTCCTCTATCCTGGGTCAAGTATGTTTTTTATACTTGGTCTAGGTGTGTTGGGAGTGGGAATGATGGTGGTTATAATACTTGTTTACCCTAAACCGTGGGATTAAGCATTCTGAGCGCTTAAAGGTGATCATTCTAACAATGAACAGGGGAATTTATCACCGTGTCACAACAGACCCATTTTCTGACAGCCTTCATTCACTATGTGAAGATAACTCCAAGCAGTTTCAGCGTGGGTATTAAGAAGCCTGGGAAGAGCAACTTACAACAAGAATGCCTCTTCTTGTAAGTGAGGCAGACATTTCAGGGTAGACCCAGAATGACTGTCCACCAGGGCAGGGATTTCTGTTCTTTTCAGTTACACCAGCAGCACACAGCATATGTTCTAAGAAATGAGTAGATAAATATTAATCTTAGACTTCAAAAAAAAATGTGCTGAGTGAGACTTTCTGGAGGTCTAGTGGGAAAACCCCAGGGACATTGGGTTATCTTTCTTTTTCTCTGGTGCATTCTTGTAGAGTTGATAGATGATACCACAAAAGAAATGCTTAGTAACGTTTCTTTTGTAAATTACAATACTAGCAGTCAATCAAAGCAAATGGCCATGCTGCATAGCCATAATCATGGCCTGAAGCTAATATTTAATTTTTAGATTTTCCTATGCACATGATAATATGCTTTGCAGTGATAAGATTTGGTTAGGAGCTGGAGAGTTAGCTCAGAGATGAAGAACACTTGCTGCTCTTACAGAGGACCCAGGTTCAAGTCCCAGCACCCACATGACTGTTCACAATTGTCTATAACTGTAGTTGTAGAAAATCTGATGACCTCTTCTAGCCTCTGAGGGTAACAGGCACATGTGAGGTATACATATAAGATATACATGTAAGATACATGTATACAGATATACATGTAAGCAAAAGTCATACATGTAAAATACATATGTAATTTTTAAAATTAGTTTAGATTTAGAGTTATTGTTCATTATATTATCACATAAGCCTCTACTTTTGCTAATAAACACTTCTTTCATATTTTCAAGATATCACAGTACTGTATTTTATTAAATAAAAATGAGAATTTATTTAAATATATTTCTATTTTTTATTTAGTGTATGTGTACGTGTGTGTGTGTGTGTGTGTGTGTGTATACTATGGCAAAGACGTTGTGCTCAAAAGATAACTTATTAGCTTAGCCATCTTGCTGACCTGAAGCATGACAATTTGATGTATCATATTTAATAGTCCATTTTTGTATAAGTGTATGTGCTGTATGTGTATGGGGGTGCCTATCATGCAGACATTTGTGGAAGCCAGAGGTGCCTTCCTCGACTTTTCCATACTATTTTGAGGCAGTGTCTCTCGCTGAACCTAGAATTTGCCATTCCTTCTAAACTGAATATCCAGGGAAACCCTGGGATTGACATGTCTCTGTCCTGCCAGAACTGGGGCTCTATTCTTGTTTGTCACTGTACCAAGCTTCTCTGTGGATACTAGAGATCTGAACTTAGGCCTAACAGTTGCAAAGATTTTGTCAGTGAGCCCATCTGCTCAGCGCCACAAGTAACAAAAGGCAGACATTTGTTCATTGTTAGACAATATTTGCTGAGAGGGTATTTCTAAGAACTGCTTTAGGTGTTTAACAGAAGTGTCCCTTACCTTTAAGTCCTTCCAATCCTCATACTTAGGTACCATTTCCCTTTGCTCTTTGGGAAAAGCAGGAGTGGCCTGCAGCGAGAGCTGGCACTTGGGCAATCAGCTTCACCACCTCTGATCCCTCACGCTTCATACCTAATTATCATATTTGTTTTGTCCTTACTTGCAACATTATTCCTCTTCCTGTGTCCATTAACTAAACAGAATTTTAGGAGGAACAAGAAGGAGTCATGGGAGACTAGAAGAGAGGAGAAGAGAGAACATAATCAGTCCTTCATCTTTTCTCCTCTCAGAACTGCTGGCTAGAAGATAGACTTCATCATTGTCTAAGCCCATTCATGTCTTCCAGCTTCTCACTTCCTGTTCTTTTCTGTGTTCTAGGATCACCCAGGGAAACACATGAATGCATTGTATCTCCTTAGGCTCTTCTTGGCTCTGCAGTTTCCCAGTCTCTCAGGCTTCTTTGCTTTACTAGCCAGGTGTTTTGTGGCTGTCTCCCAGTTGGAGTTATCTCCTGTTTGATTACTGTTAGAACAGGGTTATGTAAGTTTTACTTTCATCACAAAACATTAACTCCTGTCACATAAAGTCAAGGATATGCTATGTTAACAGAATTTATGTCACGTTGGTCTTCCTGGATGAGGACATATTGGTTATATTTCTTCACTGTGACTGCTCTTTCATCCTTTCTTAGGATACACATTCTTTGGAAGGATGTCACCATGTCCAACCCACACTAAAACCCTTCCTCCTCCTCCCCCTCCTCTTCCTCCTCCTCCTCTTCATTCTACTCCTTCTTAAGGCAGTGGATATAGAAATTATTTAGCAATCTGATTAGTATATTTACCTTTTTCTTCACAAATCTTCGGATAACTCATTATTATATATCTGTATTTTATATTTTTGGTGGTACTTGACTCCATGTTTTTAGACTTTGGGTTTTTTGATTCCATGTTTTCATTCATTGCTCAAAGTGACTTTCATTTAGAGCCATTTGGATCTCCTTTGCTATTTTCTTCTTGTCATCTCCTCCTTCCTTCCTTCTTTCCTCCCTCCCTCCCTTCCCTCCCTCCCTCCTTTCCCTCCCCTCCCTCC